CTTTACTAAGGGGCTACAACACAAAGGAAATATACACTTCTTCCATTTAGAACAGGCTGATGTATAGAATTATGCATTTGTCAAATCACAAAAAACAATATTTAAATAACTTCAACCTGTGCTGATGACTCACAATGTGAATTCCTTGCATTGCAATTGATGGGTGGGGCCTTCTCATAAATCGGAGTGGTGTCAATTACTTATGCTTCCAGTATGTTCTAAGTACAGAGAGTCCGTTCTCAAATGGACTATCCTGAGGGATTTTAAATTGCCTGAATTTGGGCTCAAATAGAAATGAAGATTAAACTTGGTAAAGGAATACAGAAGTTTCCTGTCATAAAGTTTAATGTGTATATGAAGGCTATCAAAAACAAACTTTTGACACAGGTTATTAATGAAGAATGATGTAGGTGTCCAACAGTTCTCTTAAGTTGTCTTTTCACACAAACCGGTTGGAGGGAGTTCTTGGGTTTCCCCTATAGGTCGAGTATGAAAATCTTTTTTGTTTTGTTCATATAGTGTCTTGGACCTCATGCACACCGGACGCCATCTCTTGGCAGCAGTGTTTTGGCAGAAAAACCGCTTGGCGCTTGTAAATGTGTGTAGTGCGTTTAGGAGCATCATGTGCTTGGGAGTTAATTTCATTGGTCAAAAATCATTTAAATCGGTTCTGAAAAAGAATTTGCATGTAAGCACTAAATGTGCCCAGCCTTAATGTGTTTACAAACATTGTGTTTCTGCCAACATGCTACTGCTTCTGGAAGTGCATTTTTTTTCCTCTGTCTAAACACCCTTGCCTCTAACCCCTGGTTCACATTTGTGCAGGCATGAGAGCCCATTCATTTGAATGGACTCCCGTGCCCTGTGACACGTAGGGAAGAAGTCCCTGCACTCCTTCTGAAAACACAGCATGCACAGGAACCTCGGTTCCCAGTACGGTTGCGTTTTCCAGTGTGTGCAGCATGCCATTAGAAGTAATGGCACCTGCCCGCGGGTCCGTATTTCTCTGTGCGGGTGGTGCGGCTGCACATATTTTTGCGTGGATCCGCACCACCCGCACATATGTGAACCTAGCCTATGGGCATATGTGTGTATGAACACATAGGCTAACACGTAGGAGTGTTTAGAGGCATAAAAAAAAAGGTCAGACATCCTTAGGAGCAGTGTTAAAACCATTCAGTGAGCGTGAGGTCTTATATCCTGTAGTGGACTTGCAAGCTCAGGCCTCAAGACAACATTTAAATGTTTGCTTTTACAAATGAACACATCATTCCTTAAATGGTACTGTTGTTGCACTTCAAAGATCAAACAATTCTGAAAGAACTACATGCAAAAGAGTGGTGCTACCATGTGTTGTTGGGTAGAAAAAGAAAATGTTGTGATGAAATATATCCAAAAGAAATAATTAAAAAAAAAAACAAACCTGATGTAATGTGAAATTCAAGGCTGATTATCTGCACATGTGGTCGGTGCAACTTAAACACTGTTTTAGTTTTCTCGTATGTCAGTGGAGGACAAATTTTTGAAACACTAAGGCTCCATTCACGTCTAGGCGTTTTTGTACCGCCACGATTCTGTTTGCAAATCCTGAACACTACAGAACTGACAAATCACAGGCTTGTTCAGGTGGCAGTCATTGTTAATGGCACTCAAAATTTGGTGTGATTTTACCGTGATTGTCGTGTGAAGTTTGTTGCTTCAAAAGATGCTCCTGCTTGTTTTTTTTTTTTTTTTTTTTTGGGGACAACAAACTTTGCGCTATGTGGGATGGAATGGCGTGATTTGTCAATTTTGCAGAACATGTTGGGATTGTGGGCAGAAATGCAGAGTTTTTACCTGCAATACAAGACACCTAGATGTGAACAGAGTCTTAAGAAATAAGGTACAAAAGGATCTTCAGAAGCGTGGAAAGATGAGTATTTGTTTTTAAAAACACATTGATAATATACTGTATATATTTTTCTTCCCAAGATATCAAGATGGTAATTTAAGTGTATGGTCAAAGAAATGATGTAATAGTATGTCTGCTTTGGTGCTGGTAAGATGTGACATATGTAAGCAATGATTGACCAGAGAGGTTACCATTCAAATGTAAAGCACCCATTTACAGCTATACCCCAGTGGATTCTTGATGCACTTTGCAAACACGTGTGTTGTAGTACTCCAACACACATGGTACTATGCAGTTTGGTGCAGCATAGACTTTGGTGCAGTTGTCCAGCCCATTAAAATTAAAGTACAACCAACGGAAAAACTTTTTTTTTTTTTTCTTTTTTTAAACAGAGTGGAGATGGATTAGAACCCTGTCAGTTGGTATTGCTGTCTGTGCCCCTGTTAGGAAGATTCACCATCTCTAGTTGTCCTGTTTACCATTATCATTGAAAGTAAAAGAACATCCCAAATTTTGGGTTGGCCCCAGAAAAGTAATAGAGGAGTAATCGTCCAATGGGGACAATGGTTCTGGGACCTGGGGGGTCCCCTAGGTATTCCCTTAATTTGCAGGGATTTCCTCACTTCCCGTTTCTTATGGGACAGGAATGAAGGATTCTCCACAATGGAATGCAGATGGCCAAAAATGATCTGACAAGGGTTATTACTCTACTTTACTCTATCCAAAATGAAAAAAGTTTTGCCTATAGTTCTACTTTAATGCATATAAAATGCATATACATGCATATAGGTGTGAGCGAAGGTGAAAAGGGTCAAGCCATCCTTTGTCCTGCTGCATAATAACATTTTTCACTAAATGATCATTGACCACAATAATTTGAAAGCTTAACTTTCCCAAGCTATGCAAAATCAGTTTGGTAAAAGTGATTGGAAAGTCTGTAATTTTATTCATTTTTAAATAACAAGTTTATATGTGCTTGCTCTTTGCAGTAGAATTGCACAGAGCAGCCCCAAACCTCATGTCCCCTGCCAGCACTCCTGGCTTCTCTTCTCAGTGTGGCACACATGCATGCTCAAACCTGAGCCCTGGTCTATGTGTCCATCGAGAGACAGCGAGGCTTAGTCTCATTCCCTTGTCACAGGATTTGACTGACAACAGTGTGAACCAATAGCCGTGCTATTCTTGGCAAAGCCTGTGAGCGGGAAAAAGAGGCGAGAGCTGCTGCAAATGGGCACTGCGCTGGATCAAATGAGGGCTCGGGTAAATATAAAGGGGGTGATACTTTAACCTAAACTTTTTTTACCTTAATGCAAGAAGTGCATTAAGGAAAAAAAATGTTTAGACTTTACAACCACGTTAAGTAATTGGAAGCTCGGTCTTTGATAGTCTTGCAGACTTCCATCCAGTTGAGCTCTTGTGGGAAGAGCCGATCCATAACATTAGAGGAAAATGCCCCTCAAGCCAGTTACACCTCTGGGAAGTACTACAGAGAATGGCATGAGTGGAAACTTCTTTAACCACCTCCCAACTGCGCCATAGCCAGTAGACGGCTACAGTGCGGTTGCGGTTGTCCTCCCAGAACCCTGCCCCCTGTGCTCCCCTGGGGCACACTCTGTGATCACTGGGTCCTTTGGACACAGCTGATCACAGTTTGAGGTGAAGGGCCAATCGCAGCAGCCCTTTACCATGTGATAAGCTGTGCCCAATCACAGCTGATCACATGTAAACTTGCTGGTTATCAGCTTTTTTTTTTTTTTTTTTTTTTTTTTTTTTTCCCCCTTATGTGCTGTCATTTTGTGCGGAAGGGAAAGCCGATAGCAATCTTGATAGCACACAGTTATGCTGAAAATCGGCACTGATCATCAGTACAACCCCATCAGTGCAGCCTCCTCAGTGAAGAAATATCATATACTGCAGCTTATCAATTCTTAGATGTGATGTCTGCATTATTTTTCTTTTTAGGCTTTCTTGTTTTCTATTTTATCTGGTGATCCAGCTTAGTAGTTCTGTTTTTCAAAAGAACATGCTCTCTTGCAGATTTTCAATTATATGGAGGAGACAGACTGTTTACCACTTACAGGGGTGCTTCCAATGGTCGGCTTTTATTCATGTAAACATTTTATCCCAAAAATAATAGTTTGCTGTAACTGCTTATAAAGTATTACAAAAAGATGGCAATCACCCCAATTTTTAACTAGCCTTTGTAGTACATGGAAGGGCAGCACACATCAAAGATTTTCCAGTACACTTACCAGCTAGCCTGCAAACAAACCAAATTTACCCTGTCTAACGGTTTACATTAAAAGCAGAGGGTTTTATTGCACACTTCAACGTTTCTCTCTGTATACTGCAGTCCTTACTCTATATTTGTGAGTCCCCAATTTGGAACACATATAGCAGTGGATAAATTAAGGGCAGGTTTGCCTGGAGGGAGCCCACCCCTCCTTAAAGGCATAGACACATTTAATGCCCAATAAGATCACCGTGGCATTCAATGTGTCCCCACACCAAATCGGTGAACAAGCTATGTAATAAAATAGTAGCCACCCAATTTATAACTAGCCTTTGCAGTAAGGTGCACTAGGAAGAGCAGCGCACATCACAAACAAAAAAATATAGTATTGGCCTTGATGTGTTCGTGTATCTGACTCTGCAAGTCCGTTCAACCCCCCCCCCCCCATACTGACAAAGCTGCTAGCCATAGGTGTTTCTGTGACTCCTTCATCCAGAAGGCACACTAATACAGAAAGTGTGTTATTGGCTAGATCACCAGGAGAAAACAAAAACTATTCTAGCCACCCCTTCTAATGGTTTATTAAGGTGCCATTTATTACATTTTTGGTTTGGAGTTTAAGGATTCAAGATCAAGATACATTTGTGAGCAAAAAAAATAAATATTGGTGACTGCACATTCTGGGATAGTATAGAGGTGATGGCGTGATTTAAAGTTAAGGATTTTTTTTATTATTTTTTTTATTTTATTTTTTAGTTCAGTGACTGAAAATCAATGAAATTTGATACAAATGTTTTATTTCAATCATGTCTTAATTCCTTTTTTTAAAAATTTTTCTTTTTTTTTTCTTTTTTTTGTTTTCTAGCACTGCAAAAATGTTTCAAACACCTGTCAATAATCTGGAAAAAAATAAGAAAGACTAGGAAAAGGGTGAAGCAGTTGCTGCTGCAGATTGGTTTAGACACATGCAGAGAAGCATATGAGGTAAGGGGGTTTTAAAGAATTGCCTTTGTATAGGCTTGAAATCTTGAGGTATGTGTAAACAAAAGTAAAACCTTTACCAGCTAAAGTCTCAATCTGCAAGCAGGAATCAGAGTGGTGCCAGATTAAATGATCACTGTAACTGCCAGGTTAGGCCCCTTTCACACAACCATTTTGATCAGGTCCGCCTGTCGGTTTTTCAGGTGGACTTGATCAGACGGTCCATTCATTTCTCTGGACCAACAGTTGTAAACAGACTTTTGTCCATTTGCAGCCGCATACTGCTGATTTGGTCCAAAAAAAAAAACTGGAGGGGGATCCGTCCCCCTCCGGCTAGGTGGATTGGAGGGCCTACACGGAGCTGTCATACGCACACTCTGGTTAGCAGGGGGTGAGCAGACAGATCTTGTGAAAGGGGCCTTCGTGATCAGTCTTGCATTGTAAAATTGATACAAATGTTCTACTACTACAGTCCTGTTAGTGCATATTACAGACATGTTCCTACAAAAACTGCACCAAATCTGTGAAGTCCGGCAATTCTTTTTCCCCAGTCATCTTCCAAGACAGCTCACTTCAGCCTACCACAGGAAACACAAACTCGAAAGATTAAAAGACCTCTCTCCTCTTATTTCTCAGTTTTTATGTTTATAGACCTCCAGGACTTCACTTTGTCATGTTCATGTGCCCCCTGGTCTGGTGATTGGTTATCAGACCTCTTTTCTGGTGACTAGGACCTGGTGTGCCAGAGGTGTAAAGTTGCTTATCCACTTTTGCAGGTACTTTCCCTCTTTGGGAAGTGCAACTCCTGTAGCCTGGCCTGTAGGTCTCGAGAGAGGTTGCACACGGCTAAAGGATTGTGTGTGGTTGAGTATACCAAGATAAGGGGTTGTGCTATTTCTGGGCTTCTGGTGCACTTTTCTCCTTCCCCTGTGTTTTTTTGGGCATGTGCAGGGAGACGGTACTTCTGGGCATGCCTTTCCCTCGGGGCCAGTTCACACTATAGAAACGCAGTCCAGATGCGTTCTGGATGCATATTTGCATGCACATTTTTGGTGTGTTCCAGAGCGTTTTTGCCGCTTTCCAGTGCGTTTTTTTTTATGCATTCCAGTAAATGTTCCCCCCTCTTCAGTTTAAATAGGGACATGTGCGTTCTGGTGCATTTTTGATGCGTTTTACTGCATTTCAGTACAGTTTTGTGCAGGAAAAATGCAAAAAATGTGCATTTTGGTGCAGAAAAAAAAAGCAACTGAAACGCATGTAGTGTGAACTGGCTCTCAAGGTGTCCCAATATGGCACTGGAAGTGCTGGTGCTGTACTTCTGGTGTGCAAGTGGTGCATTTCTTTCTGGGAGACTCACAATTTAGGGAAAAAAAAATTATTTGTAAATATTATCACCATGTTTTGCTTTGCACTAGTCACATTTTATAATGACACACAATAACAAAGAATTATTACAATTCTTTGTTAAAAACACAACTTTAATTTCATTCACTTCTCTTTTTAATTTTTAATACTTCCCTTCCTCTCCCTCAAGTCTTACCCTTTTCTCAGTAATCCAAGATCCATGCTGTGCGGCCATAGAATTCCGATGGAGAGACCATCTGTTTTTGAGTCACATGATAAAGATATCCTCTTTAGATAGCCAGGGTGTTCTCTGTGTACTGCTGTAGAGAGCAATCTGAGAGCAGAGGCTTGTCACATGATTTGACTTTTCCAGACACAAGCTTACAAATGAGACCTTAGGCACATATATTTTTTTTTCTCACCACTTGCACATATATGCACTTTCCTGTAACTGCCGGGGAATGACGCTCTAAAGCAGGGGTGGGCAAACTTTTTGACTTGAGGGCCGCAATGGGTTCATATATTGGACCCGGGGGCCGGACCAAGAGTAGATGAATGATGTGTATGTGTCATCCATAGTAAGTATAGTAATATTCCCCCATAGTAAGCATAGTAATTCATCCCCCATATAGTAATTCATCCCCCATATAGTATTTCATCCCCCACAGTACTATTCCCCCCCCAAGTAGTAAGCCAAGTCCCCCCTGTGTCAATTCACTTACCTTTGCTCCGCGCTGTCCTCTCGCCGTGTTCCCGCGCCGTTCCGGTCTTCAGGGCGGACTGTGAGAGGAGCCTAGCTCCCCTCACGTTCGTCATGCTGCCCCGCCTACACACATCCTGACAGCCAATGTTTGCCTGCCCTGGCTGCGGGCCGGATTAAAAGGTCCGCCGGGCCGCATATGGCCCGCGGGCCGTAGTTTGCCCATTGCTGCTCTAAAGTGATGAAATCTCGTCAGAGGAGATGACGGAATGGTTGTTCCTCCATCTCCTTTGTAAGCAGCTGTCCTGACCAGTTACTGCACTCAGTAGAACAGGTGGGCCTGGAAACCACTGGGGGGGGGGGGGGGGGGGGGGGGGGGAGAAGTGTTTTGAGTGTTAGGGGAGGGCAAAAACTGCTTTTATCTAAACTGAACAAAAATTTAATTTTGCAGCTTACCAGTTGTTGGATGTGGTGGCTGCATTATTTTCTTTTGCAGGCTTATTTCCTTTATCCCTTATACCACTCAAAGACAGAAAGTGTTAGGACCACAAAACACCTCCCTTCTCCATAACATAGGGGGAGATTGTTCTGTAGTACGCGAGAATTAGGCAGCCTCTACTTGCATTGATACTAGCACAGCAGAGGATAGAGGACATTATGAGATTAATTCATTTCTGGCAAGTGTATTTACAAGTCCAAAAGGCAAACGGACAAGGAAATCATTGGTAGAATTTATGTATCCTTTAAAGAAATTAGAAGTTGGGTTAAGTTTCATGCTCAGGTTGTTGCGTGGAAGTATATATTTTACAGGATTGGGTAAAGAAAGGGTGGCCAGGGTATGTGGGCCAAATACTACCAGTACTGGGTTTCTTTATGCCTGTTAACAGAACTGTAAAATATTTTTTGTGTTACTTTCTGATAATGGGCACTAATATACAACATTGTATTTCCTAAACTCAACTCCCTGGCTATATGCACTTAAATATAAAAAATGAAATCTAAAAGTAATGCTTTTAATGTTGTGTTCAAGTGAGGTTCTGCTTGTATTTCTCAATACAACTTACTGAACTTGAAGAAAGTGGCTTACAGGGTAGGAGAGCTCTGGCTGTACTTTCTTGTGAGGGCTCATATTGTGATTTAATTTTGCTGATGTGCTACTGTTTAGCTAGGTAGTGGCAACCTTTTGACTTTGCATATTCTTGCAACAAAGGCAGGACTTGCTCTCTGATGTAGCAGAAATGTCAAGTCACTTTTAACAGCTGGGAAAAGTAGATAAAAATGAGATATGGGGGTACATAATGTGACACTTTTTTTGGGGGGGATGATGGATGGACAAAATGCACATGGGGAAAAGGTTAAGTATGAGAACTGTAGGGGATAATGTCACTATCCTTCCATAGAGATCCCAAAGAATGCCAAGAATCTACAATTTTGCAAAGTTGACGCTCCAGTAGGATGAGTGACTTGCAAGATTTAAAATTCTCCTCTGTTCCCAAGATCTCTCCTGAAGAAGCATGCCATGACATTACCCTTGCCTAAGTGCCGTAGGTGAAAGCCAGTAATAAGGCAACTATATATTCCAACTTTTTATCCCACAGATGCCTTCCTGTAAATTCATTGTACACATACGATTTATAAAGGGAGCCCTGATGTAATGAGCTGCTTTAAGTTCTGCTTTTAAAATACAACTACCTATGGACTTTTTATGGTAGTTGGACTTCTTTAACCATTTGCCTACCAGGCACTTATACCCCCTTCCTGCCAAGACCAATTTTCAGCTTTCAGCGCTATCACACTTTGAATGACAATTGCGCAGTCATGCAACACTGTACCCATATGAAATTTTTATCATTTTTTTCTAGACAGATGGAGCTTTATTTTGGTGGTATTTAATCACCTCTGGGTTTTTTTATTTTTTCTTAAACTAAAAACAGCTGAAAATTTAAAAAAAAAAAAAAAAAGTTTTTTTCTTAGTTTTGTTATAACATTTTGTAAATAAGTGATTTTTCTCCTTCACTGATGTGCGCTAATGAGGCTGCAGTGATGGGCATTGATAGGCTGCACTGATGAGGAGGCACTGGTAGGTGGCACTGATGGGCATTGACAGGCATCACTGATGGGCACTGATAGGCGGCACTGACTAGCACTGATGGGTGACACTGAAAGGCAGCTCAGATGGGCACTGATATGTGGCATTGATGTGCACTAGTAGGCACTGATATGTGGCATTGATGTGGCACTGGCAAGTAGCATGGATGAGCACTGAGAGCTGGCACTGATAAACACTGGCAGGTGGCACTGCTGGGGCTACACTGATCATCGGGGGCTACACTGATCATCAGGGCACACTGATCATCAGGGCACACTGATCATCAGTGCCCTGATGATCAGTGTAGATTTCCCCTCTGAGGGATGCAGATTACCGGCTCTCCTCTCCTCTCGTGCTGTCAGCAATAACCGGCATTTCCCTATTTACATGTGATCAGCTGTGATTGGACACAGCTGATCATATGACCGATCAGACATCTTCGGCACTTTCCGTTGATCCGCTGTGTCCGAGGGACACAGCACACCGCATATCGCCGCGCTGCGGGAGCCCGGAGTGAAAAAAGAAGCAGTAGTTTAAATTTCTTATGTCACATTATCACAAAGGTCTAGGAAATGCAAAATGTAAGTAAAAAATACACTTAAATTAATTTTAGGTCACAAAAAGCAATAAAATATCCAATTTTTTGTGAAATATAAAAGACGAAGTTGCATCAAGTAAATATCCAACATGTCAAACCTTAAATTTGCATGCACTCGTGAAATGGCAGCAAACTTTAGTACCCTATATTTTCTATAGGTGGCACTTTTAAAGCCCCTTTTATAGGTCATCAGTTTGTTACGGAGGTGGTCTGGTGCTAGAGTTATTGCTCTCATTCTGGCGTGCACGGCGATATGCAACATGTATCGCAATCGACGGTCTGTGTAAGCACCCCAGTGCGTGCTTTTACGTTTGTGCGTGCATACATATGTGCGGGTGGGGGCCTTTAAAAATTTTGGGGGGAGTTATATGCTTGGGTGTAACTTCCATTTAAAAAAAAAAAAAAGTTTTTTTTTTTTTTTTCCCCCTTCACATAGGGGAAAAAAGTCTCCTGTGTGATAATTTTTTTGGTGACAGGTTCTCTTTTCTGAGAGATGCTAAAAGACCCTTAATATCTCCTCTGTGCTCCCCTGATTGTAATGCAGTACACATCGCACTGCATTACATGTTTTCCCAGCCTCAATGACCGGAAATCTGTCACAGGGACCCGGAAGTGACGTCACATCTTTTCGGGGTCAGGACAACGGGAAGGGGAGCAGATGTTTCCACTCTCCTCCCTCCCCTATACCACATCATCCCGCTGACACCCACTGGACCAGTCTCAGGCCCGCAGATGGGCAAGCGGAGCCTAGGACATAGAGCGGGGGGGGGGAGAGAGGCTGGCACTGTGGGCTATGTTGAATCAATTGGGCAGAAGCGCTGCTGCTCGAATGCTTCCACCTGACAGGTGAGCCCTGCTGCTAAAGGCAAAAAAAAAAACTACCTGCCCAGCGCCTGGAACTGCATGTCCGGGGGCGTCGGGCGATATGAATTGCACATCCCTGTGATGGGCTCCTATGATGCGGAGAGAAAGGAGGGTTACTGGACACTGTCCTATATGGAAGTGCTCTGTTGCTTCTAGTAGGCCAATTATTGTGAAAATGTTTATGTTAATTGTTCAGTACAGGACACAGGCTGGATATTCTTAGACTATGGGTTATAGGCTGCTACCTTCAGGTGATTAGACACGGGCAAAGCTCTGCTGGACAAGCCCCCTGGGTGTGCTCCAATAACACTACCCCTTTCCTTGAATCCTCCAGATTTTTTTCTAGTTTTCTTTCTTAGGCTTTCAGCACGCAAACTTTTGGCAAAGCATCTACAGACACTGTCTTCCACTTTACTCTTGTTGATGCTCTAATCGTGCCTTGATGCAAATTTCCAGCATGGCTCTTGCTTCTATCTATATGAACAGAATCTTATTGCTAAACGTCTAGTCAGTTGAAGCTGCCTCATGACCCTTTTGAAATAGGAAATCCAGTGAGGCACTTAACAAATTCATCAGATGTTACAGGGGAAAGGTGCTCTTTTCACAATGGAAGTTTCCTAACCTCACCCCCATCCTCAGAGACTTCGTCAAAAAGAAGAGTGCCACACAGGTCTCTTTAGACTTCATCTTCAAAGCCAAGACACAACCCTTCCATTCACCGCAAAATATGGAACAGAAAATCTACCAAGTCTACCCTAAAGCCTTCTTTTTAATGAAGGGAAGTCAATTTTGCAAACTACCCTGAACCATCTCTTGTCCTGTGGAGTAGTTGTTCCAGTCCCCCAGAAGACCAGTTTAGAGCATTTTATTCAAACCTGTTTAGTACCAAACCTTTTACTGCCTCTCTCACACAATGGGAATATCTGCCGGTGCTAAGAGCCGATCATGTAGCCGAACCAGCTTCAGAATAAATAAGTATAGACATCTTTTCCACGATAGAATAGTCCTAGAATGGAGGTGGGAATAGGCTTGGTTATAATTTGACTAGAATTCCACTTTAATGCTGGAAAAGCTACTTCAGAAAGTTTTACTATTGTGCTTGGAACTCCTTTGGCTGGTGAGAACACAGGCACTTAGTGGCTTGCTAATATGCTACTGCTTTGGAGTTTGTGCTACTTCCTTGCTGTAGTTCAGTTTTAAACAAATTTAGAATGTGTCAACCTAGTGAACCTCTGTGTCAATGATGTAGCATTTATCAATTAATATTTCCAGTACACCGTTTTAGAAGAGCAACTGAAACCAATTTTTGAATTTTCAGTCATTCTCCCTTTTGCGTGCCAAGTTAAAAATCCTTCAACTGAGAACTGTTTTTTGTTTTGTATTTTTATTTGCCTTTGTTGTAACTAAAACAGACATGAAATATGTACCTAGATCATGTGCTTATTTATAAACCAGACTAAAAACGTGTAAAGCTTACCAGACTTATAGAAAGGAAAGGTTAAACATAAGACAAACTTCTCAGATCAGGGCTGCATTCAGCTGGGAATAGACTTGGGAAGTTTCCATTCTGCTCTAGAAAATGAGGCTAGGTTGTCTGGATTGATGGCATTACCCATTTTGCTGTTCACTATTGTGACCGATTTCTACAATTAGAGTTCTGCTGTTTAACTGTGTGCACAATAATATAGCTAACTTTGGAGCCAGCTCTTTCCTCAAGCTCGAGTGGCAACGTAATCGAACAACACACACTCATTTGATTTATGGAGAATACCACCGTGTGCCCTAAAGTCAGCCTTAAATCATATTTAAATCACAAACCAAATTTGTAATATTAAATATCATCAAACCTTAGGTTTGGTGGTGTTGATTTCCTTTAAGACTATAAATCCACCTTCGGATCTTGCTAGTTAACGCACATTCTATCCTAGTGTAACAATGCTCGCTCACTGTACTGAATCTATGGAGTAGCAGCTTTGTCATCCAAGGCTGCTCTCCTGATTAAGACTACAAATAACTTGTCTTGCTTTATGGTTACATAGGGATGGGGGGAGTGTTTTGTAGTTCAGAGTCCTGGTGGTGCTAGTATTAGAGATTTCAGTTAAGTGTGCAGGATATTACAAAGATGCACAATTTCTGGAAGGATCAACAGGTCATTTACTATATATGCACACAATGCTATTGGATGTAGCAACTGTACTCATTTTGTTCAAGTTAAGGATTGGTAAGCTGCAAATATATTCAATGTTTATTCTTCAAGTGTACTTAGTTCACCCTAGTGAATTTTTCTCTTGTAAAAACACGCAAAGGGTGCAGTTCACACGTGTGCATGCAGCCATGCAGTTAAAAATAAAAAATGCATGCAGCATTTCTAAAGTTTTGAACTGCATGTTCTATAATCGACATGAGTTGCAACTCATGAGTCTGCTTTCATCAGCAGTGTAAGATTGCTTAATGTGAATACATTCTAAGGATTTTATGTTATAACTAAAAGGTATAATGTACATAGATCTCATTTTATATGAAAATCTGTACTATGCTTTGATACTTACTGCATGTACAAAACTAATGTGTCCGATAATATGCAGTTACAAAAAAAAAATGTTGCTTAAAATTGCTTGAACAAAATTACTTGGGGAAAAAACCTGGCACAATTCGACTCTTACTACATGTGCAAGTAATGTGCAGTTACAAATGTGCTTGCATCAAATTAACATCCAATCAAACTCATGAATCAGTGCAAAAATAATACAATTGTGAATAATAGATGAGCGCAAGTGTGCATGTGATAATGAAATCCAATCTAGTCCATAAAAGCAACCTTCCATGGTAAAAAAAAAAAAAAATTTTCAATCCTCAAAGACCCACAGGGGAATAAACTGGTGAAAAAAAGTGCGTAGTCACTCCACCACAGTGATCCTAGTGGACAAACTCTTGCCGCCTTTTGTCAGAACCTTAGTTATAAAAGGTCCAGGAAGGCTGGAGTCCCTTTTATAAGTAGCCTGGATGAGCTATAATGGAGGATTCCATCTCCCTTCTAAAACGGCCAGCTTGAGGAACCTTTTAGGAAGTTAACTCAAAAGAGAAAGGAAAGACCTAGTGCTCTCTGTGTTTCTCAAACAACCTGAATATTTTTTTAAAATCCTACATTAATGAAGTATGACTAAAGCCTTTTTGCCCCTACTTCTGTGGATCACAGGAGTGCTGTTCGTTCTGCTAAAGTTCGTTTTTGGCTGACATCACTTAGCTGATCCAGGCTGGCTCAGCCTCTCAGCAAGCCACTAGGAGACTGAGCCAGCCACTCCAACCCCCCTCCATAGCCAAGTGCTCCAGTGAGGGCAGAGAACCAGAGACTGACAGCCACCACTCTGTGCTCAGTGGAGGGGAGAACTGAGCAATCAGCAGGGTTTGATCACTTCCCTCCGTGTAGAGGTGGGGGGGACATATGTTACATCCACCGAGGTGAGTGTATACATTTTTTTTTTTTTTTTTCCCCAATTATAAACTCTTCAGTGTAATTACAACAGGAAGAGGAGAATTTTATTAGAGCTTGTCCTCTCCACAATACAAATACCAACAATGACTCAGTGCTCTCCCCTATGTGTTGCATTATCGACTTATTCAGGGCAAGAAGTCTGTTTATTTGAACGCATGTTCATTTATTAGTTTGATTGGATGCAAGCACATTTGTTGTAACTGCATATTACTTGGCACATTTGTTTTGCGCATGTAGTGAGCATCAAAGCATGGTATAGGTTTTTTTTTATTCAAGCAACTTGTAAGCAGATCTGTTGTAACTGTATATTTTTTATGTGGCACATTAGTTTTGTACATGCAGAAGTGACAAAGCACAGTAGGTTTTTTTTTTTTTTTTTTTTTCTCATTTCAGCAGAGTTTTTTTTTGAGTACTGCTTCTCTATAGTTATAAGTAATTGTGAGTGTGAGATTTTATATATAAAATTATATACACGGGTTGGACAAAAATGGAACCACTATATGATTTGCAGGTTTGAAAGTGACGACATGTTTAACGTTGGAAAGTGTGGAAGTATTCTTTTGCTTTTGCTGTGTGAGGGGACACCTAGCTAACATGTGGGAAGCCTCACTTTCATTGTCCACTGCATGCACTGCTAGTAATACAGAGTCTTGTCATTTACTGAGCTTCAAAGAGGGCAAATTGTTGGTACCCGCTTAGCTGGTGCCTCTGTGGCTGAAGTTATTTTAATTAGTGTCGTGAGGTACAGAATCAAAGCTTATGACTGCATATACAGTTTCTGAGAAAACTATGTTTAATAAACATAAGCACGGTCGACATGGTCAACCAAGAATAAGAAAACATCTGCTACAAAAGTGACTGCAGAGCTCAATCTCTGTCCCATGAAGACTGCACAATGTCATTTTGTCTTTCGGTCAGTTGACCACATTTGTTTAGCATACAACGTTTTCCCGGAAACTGTATATGCCATCATAACCTTTGATACTGTACCTCGCAACACGGAAAACTGGCAACTTTAGTCATGGGCACCAACAATTTGCCCTCTTTAAAGCTCCATGAGCTCTGACATGACTCTATTAGCAGCGCACTCCGTGAATGACGAAAGTGAAGCTTCCCACCTGTTAGCTGTCTCATCACACAGTGGAAGCTTCTTTCAAGGTGAAACATATTGTCACTTTCACACCTTCAAATCCTAGTGTTCCATTTTTTTTTGTCTAACTCCTGTAGTTCTCATTTTGTATTGCTACCTATCTGGGGAATCGCTTAAGCATTTTTTGTTTGCCAGAATTGCATGGCCTTTTACCTTTAGCAATAGTGAAGCTTTCAAGAAGTTAAATACATTAAGTATCAAAATGTATATTCTTTTGTTTGTTTTTTAGGAAATCAACACTTATAATCCAGGCGACACAAATTTTTCCAGTACATCATGGGAGGATGTCTCGCTTTGGGAAGCTATTGGACGCAGAAATGTATGTCTAACACTAGTGGTTGGCAATCAGAGTAGAACAGCTTTTACTACTATCAAAGTCCTGTGTAGGACTGTCTTTCTTGAGCAAGGTTTCAATGACAATATTTATTTATTTTGCAGAAGGTTAAATGTGCAGGAGCTATTTTTGTGCCTTAGGCCCCTTTCACACAGTGCGGAATCTGCTTTGTTCAGCAGGGAATCTGTCCAATGATCCCTTGCTGAGCAGAGTGGGCAGGTGACGTCCGTGTTCACTCAGTTTATGCAGAACAGAAATGGACACAACCCACTCTGCTCTATTGGCGGTCAGGTGTAAACCCTCTGATCTGCCTAGATGGAGGGGGAATGGATCCCCTTCTGTTTCTTTTAGCGGATCGGATTGGAGGTAGGCGGGGGTGTAAATGGATACAAATCCATTTACACTCTCCAGTCCATAGGGACACATGGACCGTTCGATCAGATCCCCTTGAAAAACTGACAGGCGGACCTGATCAGATTGCTAGTGTGAAAGGGGCCTCATTGTGACTTTGCCTGAGCAACAGCATATTGTTGTTTTTAATATATTTGGCAGGATTTTCAACTGTAGCATGCATGTTAAAAACACATTGATGTTAATTTTGTCATTTTAAGATTTCTTTATTGAAAAATAGAAGTAGGTTTTTGTAATAGGTGCCTGACAATACTGACTACCTGTGCAAAATCTAAAACTTAATTTTGGGCATCAGAGTGGTGGTGGGTGATTAGGAAAATCTACCAATTTTTACAATTTCTTGCTGAGCTAATATCCTCCCTTGATGTCACTGCTTTCTGTAACTTAAGACATCCTTCTAAAAACGCTGAAGCTATAGACTGTGTGCATGTGTTTCTCTTCTAACGTACACCCAGAACTACAGTTTTTTTTTTTTTATTTTCTAGGGTGGTATCAGGTAGATGCTTTTAAAGTCATACCATGCATCTCAAATACATTGCTAAATGGCTACAGGAAAAAGCTAAAAATCTGCACTTTGATCACTGCTGTGAAGGTTAATTTATACAGGTAAGCAGCTGCACAACATATCAGAGTGAACTCTTTTGGCAATTGTTTTTAAACTGGCAAAGGGGTTCATCCTGGAACAATGTGCTGGTTATTTGTATAATCATACCTAAACTTTGATGTGCAGAGTGCAAGCATTACGCCAACTTCATTTTTATGATGCCAGCAGTTCCCACACACCTAACAGTGTGATGGTACAATCCTCTTTTTGGCAAGAACTATGTAGTGCAACATCTGCCTACATTGTTTAATTTATATCCTGACATGTAGACCTTTTGCACTGGTAATTCGAAGGTAGATTGTAGAGTCAAAGTCTAAAGTATGTTGCCAGTTCAAGCAGAGCTCCAAGGAGCCCTGAGGTTTCTGTGTCAGATTTTTTACTTGTATAATGTATATCTTTGAGTTTCTGAAACCGCTGTGCTAGTTAGGAGTGAATGAAAACAACTGAGCATTTTTTAAGCTGGAGATAAAGAATTCTGTATCTTCTGTGTAAGGGAGTGCTGCCCATGGTGCTTTTACTGACCTGTATGGTGAATGCAGCTTCAACAGCGCTAATAGCTGAGCATTTGGCAAAACATGTTTGTTTACCTTTGTCTTGTCTGACAAGACCGAAAGTACATAAAGCATTGCTTTAGACCTGATAGATAAATAAAAAATGCCTATTACTGATACTGTTTAATATCAAAGTTCTAGCAGACCACATTCGCTTTTGAAGCTGCAGGCACTGTCTCTAACCTCCAGATGCTGCCTGCAGGCAGCCTATTTAAGTCTATTAGGATGCAGCCGCTCCAAGGTTATAGCTGCCCAACTAATGGGATGGGTGTGAGCGAGTGGCTCTAACCGCAGACTGTGTATTTTTGGGGCTGCTCACCACAGACTGGTCACATTAGAACAAGCAGCTGTGTCTGTGCAACCGCTGTATTCTAATATACTTCAATGGGTTGCTACAGGCAACACCTGGAGAATATAGAGCTGCCAAAAAACCCATCCTGTTCATGATATATGGCTTCAGCACTTGTGTGATGGAGGCCTTTAAATTCACACCAGAGCCACTGAACTCTTGGCTCTTTTTCTATTACTTTCTATCGCAACAAATTCTTTGCAGGCTGCCATCCTAATGGAAATGCACAACATGTGTTTCTAAGATGTTAAAAAGGCCTTCTGCACAAGGGAAGTAAAAAATGCAGGCCATACGTGGGTCGAATTCTGGACAAATTTTCTTTAGAAAATCTGAAATTTTGTGTTTTGTAATCCAATCATGCGCCATTGATTTAGAAATTCGACCAACCAAGCCTTTAATTTCACATCATGTTGCTACAGAAAATAATTTTTTCGTGGCCAAGAATTTTTTTCTTTCCAGATCACAGCTTATGCTGATCCTTTTTTTCAATTACATTTCTCGCATGATTCTTCCATCATTGATTGGAAATTATTGAGTTTTTCCAAAAATTTCCAACATGCCTGATCACTCAAATTCGATGGTCACTCGAAAATCAGCCATTGATGTGGCCCACTAATGGTTAATCTTAGAAAAGATTTTCGAAAGAAAATTCTTTAAGAATTTGATCCATGTTTTGGCCAGCTAAAGTCATGTTTTTTTTTTTTTTTTATAGATGCATGTTGTCTATGGAACAATGCACACAGCTGCATTAAAATGGAGGGATAGCATAGAGTTGTAAAATGAAAATAGAAAATTGTACATTTGTGCAGTAATTTATGTGCATATACATAGTTTTTTCAAAACGTATTTTTTGGTAAAAACACTTTTAAATTTAATGCAAGAAAACACAGTATATAACACAATTTTTTTTGTGCTGTATAAAAGATGTTACGCCAATGCGAAGCTTTAAAAGCCTTACAGGTTTTTAAATTACTGCCCATGATCTGACGTTTGCAGTGATACTTCGAGTGGGATGATCACTGTGTGTGTGCATTCGCCTTTTGGGGGGCATTTTTTTTTTCTTTCAATTTATTTTTACACTACCACTTTAATTTTTTTTAAAATCACTGTTGCAGTCCCAAGGAATGTAAATATCCCTTGCAACAGCAATAGGCATGTGACAGGTACTCTTTATGGAGGGATCTGGAGTCAATGAGACCCATTATCCCTACTCTGCTCTTTAAAAGCATTCAATCACACCAATATCAATGTGATTGAATGAATGCTTTTATATTTTAAAAATTATGCTGTGTATTTCCTAGTAAACCAGAAGTTGTCAGGTCATTGCTTCCAGTTTACCATTTAACGGAGCTGAACAAAGCCTATGTGGTCTTTGGCTCTGTGCCCACTTTGTGGCAGCGCTGGCTGGTCAATTTGGACTCCTGATGCGATAAAAGCTCCTGTTTAAAGCCATTGAAGGGGGACGTCCTCTCCCGCTGCTTGTAATAGCAATCCAGTGGCTAGTTAGCTGCTCCGTTTGCTATTAAGAGAGCCGACAGTTGGCTCTAACTATTCCAGCTGCAGGAATCCTCCCAGTACAACGGCTTAAACTCAAGCGATGTATGGGTATGTAGCTGGAGATAAAGTGGTTAAAAGTAATCTAATGTCAAAGAATGACTTTAGGTACACAGCTTCACCTTAACTTCTGGCCTTTAAAAAAAAAAAAAAAAAAAAAAAATTAGTAAATAGACCTTGCAAATACTTGAGTATCTCCTGGGGTTCCCCCAGAGTCTGTGCACCTGTCTTCGCTTCTTCCTCTTTATCACAGCTCTGCCATTAGCTTTCCAAAGAAAGCAAGTAGTGTAGCATAGAAAATGCAGTTTTGTTAATGTTAAGCCTTTCCAGAAGAGTACAGTTGGTAGTACAGCCAGTGCAAAAGTAAATTTTTAACATTTCAGAGATGTTAGACTGAAAAAAATCTGTATTTGTATCACCTCTGTATTGTACATCTAAAAATGATATGCAGAGTATCTGCAGGTGCCTGACATTTATTTCCAGCTGGAATTAAAGCAACCCTCATTCTTTACAGCCAAGGAATCTTACAATTAAGCCTCTGTTCTGCAGTTACCATGGTGCTGCACATAAGTTATGGCACCAGCCATTTGCAAGCCTTGAATGCATCTTTTTTGGTATACAATCAGGGATGTGAAAAAAATACTTCTCTGGGGACTAAATCAGTGTCCCAATCTACTTGTCCCTCATGACAATCTACTTGTCCAGATAAAACAAAATAAATTTTAACCCAAACTATATTTAAATCTGAGGTGCTTTTAGGAATGTTCTATATTTTCTGAAAGCAGACACCCTAGAGAATAAAATAGTGGTAGTTCCAATTTATGTCACACAATATTATTGCAAAGGTCTAGGAAACACAAACTTTTAGTAAAAATCAGTATTGAAATCGACATTTTCACGTGTAGGTGCCCCAATACGTCTGTTTACATTTGTATGTGGGGGCTCCAAAAACTTTTTTTTTTTTTTTTTTTTTTTTTTTTTTTAGGGAGTGCTTGGGTGTCATATTATTATTTTTTTTTTTTTGTTTTTCATCACATAGGGGTGACAAAGTCCCCTATATATTGATTTTTTGGTGACGGCCCTTTTTTTTTTTTTTTTTTTTAAAAGTCTGATTCATATTTAAAGTGGACCTTCACTTAAAGGTGAAAGTACTGCTAATCCTCCTCTTTACCAAACATGTCTGCTTTTGTTCGTATGCATTACAGGGTGGTGATAGGATTCATAGATTACAGAACAAAGAAGATTTGCTTTGCTTTCTAATTATTAGCTTATGAGAATTATTAAGGTCTCTGCATTATTGGTAAGATCGACATGAATTTCTTTTTTTTACTTGCGGAGAATGTTTTTGGCTTTAAAAAAAAAGAAAACTAATGCAGCCACCACATCGAAGACTGGTAAGCTGCAATATATTATATTTTTGTTTTTGGGTTTACTTATTGTACTTTATTTTGTTCTCCTTTATTGAAGTAGAATCCAGAAGTGCAGAAGATCTTTTTTTTTTTTTTTTTTTTTTTTTTTTTTTTCCCATAGTAAGAAAATATTTGGTGCTTTTGATCATAAAACAAGAACAGAACTAATTTAATTTTTTATTTTCTTTAGGGTTACAGATCAAAGCAGTTTTGTTGCAGCCTCTGCAACTTTTCAACAAGACTGCTGTCGTCTTTCAAAAGTCATCTGCAGCGCTATCATGAAGATGAGAAAGATCAGGAGATGATGTCAAGTTGTCCAAGGTGTCCATTCACTTCCCATACAAAGAATGTGGTCAAACACATGCGGATTTTTCACTCAAGTGTGCGAAAAGTGCAAACACCTACTACAAAAGATAGTCAGAATCCTGTTTGGACAAAAGAATTACCAAAAGCAGTTCAAATGAAATTTTCTTGTTCAAGGTGTTCTTTTACGGACAGCCTATATTACACTATAAAGAGGCATGTTCTAACTAGCCACCACAAAAGTGAACTTGAAAATTATTTTGGGGAAAAGTCCGAAGAGGAACTTAAAGGGACTCTTGGATCAAAAGTTAATCTTGATAATAGATTTTACTGCAAAAAATGCAATTACACAATTCATAACCATGATGCATTAATGTACCATATTCTAACATCTGACAAGCATAGAGATTTGGAACAGAAGCTGAGAGCTGAGATCTCTGATGCTGGTCGATCAAGTATAAGAAGGCCATACAAGAAAGTACTTGGTCCACCCATAGCGCTTTCACCTAAACCAACACCATTGCCAATCTCCCCAGCTGTGGCTCTTCCATCTGCTCAAGATGCAAAGGTGGCTTCACTTCCTCAAAACGGTCCCAATCAACCACTTTTGGGAGCATCTACTGCTATTATTTCAAATCTAGTACCATCTATAACATCGGTTCCTGATCCTGCTGGAGGTATAGTGAAGACCACAACTACTAATGTTGCCCCTACTGCTCAAGTTGGATTTGTAACTACTTCCCTTCCTCAAAACCAGAGCATTACCCTACAAGCTTCCCTTCCCCAGTCTGTGTTTTTGTCTCCAAGGTTTACTCTAAATCAGCCTGTCACTGCAACAGTGCTTCCTTCTGCTTGCAGTGTTGGTGGACAGATAATTCCTGGAGCTCAGACCACTGTGCGACCTACAGTTTTACCAGTCAACCAGCCATTACCCAGGGGCTTGCTTCCTGTGAACCAGTCAGCAATGCTTCCCTTGCAATCCAATGTAATACAGATGAATCAAAATGTAAGGCCTACAATCATCTCTGTGAATCAACCACTGAAGTCAACTAATGTTGCAGGCAATCACCCTGGGGTTCCCCAAAATACTTTCCTTGCGGCACCTATAATAAGGCAGCTTATTCCAACTGGAAAACAAGTAAATGGAATACCTACATATACTCTTGTAACATTGCCGGTTGCTCCATGTGCTATTCCAGCTGTTAATCCACCAAAAGTGCCTGCACAGCTGTCTCAGCCAGAGAAAGTGGTTCATGTATCCACTTCTCCAGCCAGTGCACCATCACCACCTGTTGTACAGGCACCTCAAAGCACATCAGAAAAAAATCCAACTCCAAAACGTACTCCTGCCAATAGCCCAGGTGTTGCTCCAGGTGCTAAGGACAAGACCAGACAGTGGAAGACATGTCCAGTATGCAATGAACTATTCCCCTCAAACGTATATGAAGTTCACATGCAGATTGCTCATATAAAACAGGAGAATGGCCCTGATAAGCCAACAGAGTCTGCCGCCAACAATGAGACAAAGCAACCTATAGTTGCAGCAGCACATGCATCTTTTTTGAAAGTTGTGAAGGAAAAGTCTGTTCGATGTGTCACTTGCAAGGTATTTGCTCAAGACAAAGAGGTGTTACAGCACCTTTTAATGCACGGTATGGTGGTGTCTGTACTGCAAAGCTGTTTTTTACGAACTCAGAAACTTTATCTACCACATGAAAATCCTGCATGTAGACAAAAAGAAAATCCATGCAGACTTTGTCAGAAAAGGTATTACAGTATCGTGTGATACCAATGGTACAGCACTGTTTTCTCATTTTGACTTTACCTTTCATGTTTCCAAGGAAGAGCTTGGAGAAAAAGAAATGCACATTGCTGTAGTTGCTGGAGCCAATTCTAACACTTCTACTCCCTTATATATCAAAATACAAACATCTGCTGAGAGAAGCACGCATGATGAGCAGAACTCTAAATGTTCTTTTTGTGAATACGCTTTATCCAAGTCAGAAGCACTGGAAACGCATTTGAAAGATAAGCACCACATAATGCCCACAATGCATACTATACTTAAATCCCCTGCATTTAAGTGTATACACTGCTGCGGTGTCTACACTGGTAGTATGACTTTGTCAGCCATTGCGTTGCATCTTCAGCGCTGTCGTAATGCTCCTAAAGATAGTATTGCTGCACTAGAGTTGTCTGCAGACAGCAATGCTAAAGGGCAGTCAAAGGGAGGATCAAATGATTGTTCAAAAGGAAAGCAAAATTATACTGCAGAAACTCAGGTTGCATCAAATGATACAAAGAGCCAGAAAAATGGTCTAGGTGCTTCAAAAGACTCCTCTCCTGTGCCTTCTAAAAGAAGAAAAATTGACTCCAAATCAGAATTTTCAGATCATTCTGCTGATCAAAATGTTAGCATGCTTGTGATGGTACCAGATGCTTTTGCAACTGTATCTCACGAGGCTAAAAAAGAATTCCTGCTAAAGTATTTCCATGTGAAACCTTACCCCAGCAGAAAGGAAATTGAATTGCTGGCACATGTACTAGATATGTGGAAGAGTGACGTTGCTTCATTTTTTGGTACAAGGCGATATATGTGCACGAAATTTCTCAAAAATCACAAACAGCAAGTATTACTGGGATTTAAAATGGATGATCTTAAGCAAGTGAAGCATGACATAGACCTGTCTGAAGATTATTAGACTGCTTCAGTAGGTTAATTTTACAGAAAATGGGATGCAGCTGGTTAGCTGTACAATGGCTTACATAACGTCACTTGTGATGAGAAATGATTCAAATGAAAACTGGAACTGGTTTAAAATGTATGATCCAAAACACTTGCTCATTAATCCATTTTTTATGTTTGGTGTTCACTATGGTGCTCCTAACTTCTGGTTCAATAGTTCCAGCAAATTGACCTCCTATAGAAGTTTGTCAGTTTCACAAGTTTTTTCCTGCATTCAGCACTATATTCTCCTGTGTCTACGTATGCTTTTTTGTTTGTGTTTTCCAGAAGCTCAGTTTGTGAAGATGCGCTGTATGTCTGTCAATATACTGTATGACCTGTCAAGCCCAAGCTTTTCAAAGCTTGGGCTTGACTAGTCTTTACTGATAGTATTTAATCTAAGACTGTGTCCCATTGTTACACTGAAGAATAGATGTGTTGAGGCTTATATAGGATCACTAGAAATATCCGGGTAAAAACAAATCCTATTTGCTAGGTCAGTGGTTCTCAACCACAAGCCCATGAAGTCTCTTCTGCTGGACAGTGCCTTTCTCTGTTCCCTTATGTTCAGCAGTTGGCCCCCATGCTGGGTGAGGAAGTGTGCTTGGAAGGAGTTGCACAGAAGAGGAAAGAACTCCCCAGACACTGGTTGGAGTCTTGGGTGGTTAGGCTACTGACTAATGAATTGTGCTTCCTATCGGGACCCAACTAATAGGGTGCTCAGGGCTGAGCCTTGAGTACAAAGAGCTGCTTATGCTTCTCCATAAAGAACTTTATAAGTGATCGCAAGAATGACCAGAGCCCTCTGCAGAGAGAACATAGTGTGGCCCAATGCAGCATCCAGATTTATCTCCTGTGAAAGGTAGAATCTTGTAAATCAGTGGTTCTAAACCACTGCGCTGTACAATGTAGCACATGAGTAGATTCAGAGCCTATTATGTCACACACAGTGTGCAGTACACGGAGTCCCTATGCCTGCTTTTTTTTGCCACAGCGCTTTTTTTTTTTTTTCCCCCCTACATTCTGAAGTTCAAGTGTATGTATAATGCAATGCTATGGGCAGCATTGTGTGTATCATGTATTTGCAGTTTAGGATTTCACTGGCTGATATGATTGCAGTTGTGGGTGCATACATTTCTCCAAAACATTGCAAAAAAAAATGTTTAACAAGCCCTCGCTAAGGTTGAGAATCACTACTCTAGTTACATTGTTGCTCCTGCACCATGTACTGACCTTCTAAGCAGATTTCATCATTTCTTAGCTTTGAAATTCATTAATATGTAAGCCTACTGGCAAATCTAGGGGTTGGCTTTGTAATTTAGGTGCGATGTACAGTTTGTTTTTTTTTTTACTTTTCTATGTGCTGCTCCTTAAATACATCAATAATTGTTTCACAGCTGTAGCTCTGTCAGTTTCCACTTTTGTACACTGTTTGTTTTAATTGGTAGTTATGTGGTTTGAACCCCAAACCTTTTCTTTATAGAGGTCTACATCTTTATTCCTTTCATCTACATACTGGATGGAGCATCATTTATGCATCATTTTAGGTGTACTTAACATGTCTTTTTTTTTTCCAGTAAGGAAATTAAACTTTTTCTGCAATTCAGTTTTTAATGTGTGATACAGGACTCTTTTATATCCCTATATAAAATATTATATAATTTATTAGTAACTTTGGAAGAACAGGAACCCTTAGTTGTAGGAAAGGCTTAATGTGGTGCCAGTTAGGCCCTCTCGTTTCTACTTTACTGTAATATATCTAGTACAAAGAATATATTGCCTTTGCCAATTTGGACTTGCTTTTGTTCCAAATAAACATTTTAACTACAGATTGAGTACAGTGTTGTTTCTTGAAGCCACTGCAACAATTGCACTGTTTACTGTAGATGAGTTTTGAAGCGATCAAGGTGCTTCTGATCTTTTCAGGAGAAAGAGGACTCACTTGCACAGAGATATTAGAAAAGCAAATGCCTCAAGGTGCTTATATAAAATTTTAGAAATGATAAGCACCTTAAGTCTATTCTGAAGTAATAGTCTATTCTGCTCCGTTTCCTACCAACTGTACACTAAGCTGCCAGTGCACAGCTCAGCGTGCATTCTGGGAATTCTTCAGCTGTGCCTAACTGATTCCTGTGTGCATATGTGGGGCCAATCAGGATTTTGAAAACCCACCACCCAGGGAGAAGATGTTAGCGGCTGACAAGGGATGTAACTGCCTCATCACTGGAAGGTGGAGGTGAGCATCTTTTGGGGTTTCATTCTGCTTTAAAGTGGACGTTCAGTCAAATACTAATTATACTTAAACCTGATCCCACCCCCATTCTAGGCCTATTCTAATTACCTTGTAAAGGAAAGATTTCTATACTTACCTATTCGGAGGGTGCTCCCATCTGGTTACATGATCTGCTCCCAGCACTAGATTCAGTGTAGAGAAGGAGGACAGCAAATTTCCCATAGTATGTTTGTGGGACATCATGCCCAGGCTTTGGAGTGCCGTAAGTATAGGCACCTTTCCTTTTAAAGGGTAGTTAGAATGGGGGTGGGAGTAGGCTTAAGTATTTGACAAGACTTGAACTCAAAGTGAAGACTTGCTATGGCATGGGTAACATTTTGAACTATTGTTCCTAATCGGTACCCTAAAAAAAAAGTATGTTTTTTTTTTTGTTTTTTTTTTTTTTTTTGTCTTGAACTCCTTTTATAGAAAAAAAAATAGCAGTATGCTTCCTGGTATGTGTGGGTGACACTTCTGTTCTCCCCAATGACCAGTAACATTGGCTGCAGTGATGGGTGTGCCAGTGTAGCAGTTATTGCATTTAATCTATAGCCATATCAGTACAATGTTACTATAGTGACAATACACTGTGCACATTTATTAGGCAAGTGAGTATTTTGACCAAATCATGAGTTTTATCCATATTGTCCAACTCAAAGCTGTATATAAACATGAATGCTTATTGGATTTATGCATATCAGGTGATGTATATTTGTGTAATGTGGGAGTGTGTGACTTAAGTATATCAGCACCCTATATTGAGGTGTGCATAATTATTAGGCCGCTTCTTTTCTCAGACAAAATAGGCCAAAAAATAGATTTAACTGAGTCAAAAATTGTAAAATCTTTCAGAGGCATGCAGCACTCTTGAAATTGGCAAGATATTGGGGTGTGATCACAGAACCATCAAATGCTTTGTTGCAAATATTCAACAGGGTCGCAAGAAACGTGTTGAGGAAAAAAAACATGCAAATTAACTGGCAAGATTGGAGAATAATCAATCGTGAAGCTGCCAGGAACCCATTATCCTCCAGTGCTGTCATATTCCAGAACTGAAGCCTACCTGGAGTGCCCAGAAGTACAAGGTGTTCAGTGCTTAGAGACATGGCCAATGCTGAAACCTGACCACCGAACAAGTCACATAAGTTGAAAAGTTAAGACTGAGCCAAGAAATACAGATTTTTTAAAATGTTTTATAGACTGATGAGATGAGTGACTCTTGTTGGACCAGATGGATGGGCTCGTGGCTGGATAAGTAAAGGGCACAGAGCTCCACTACAACTCAGGCACCAGCAAAGTGAAGGTGGGGTACTGGTATGGGCTGGTATTATTAAAGATGAGCTAAGTGGACCTTTTTGAATTAAAGATTGATTTAAAATCAACTCCCAAACCTACTACTAGTTTTTAGAAGACCCTTTCTTCAAGCAGTAGTACAGGAAAAAGTCTGCATCTTTCAAAAAGACCATGATATTTATGCAGGACAATGTTCAATTGCATGCATTGAAGTACTCCACTGCGTGGCTAGTCAGTAAAGGCCTTAAAGATGAAAGAATGACATGGCCTCCTTCCTAAAACCCCTTTTGAGAACTTGTGGACCCTTCTTAAACAAGAGTTTTACGGTGAAGGAAAACAGTACACTTCTCTGAACAGTGTCTGTGAGGCTGTGGTCAACAGATCAAGGAACTGACACTCCATGAATGAAAGGCTTATGACTCTCGACCGAGAGCACTGTAGTTCAATAATGAAATTAATCTTCAAAAATACAACTTGCCAAATAATTGTGCCGTGTATGCTTGATCTGTTCATACTGTCACTAGAGCAATGGCAGAGTCACTATGGTGATGTACTGCTATGGCAGTGATCAGAGACAATGGTTGGTCTCACTAACATGCAGTGCCATCAGAGTTGCTGCAAAATGCAGGTCCAATTACCCCAGGACTGCTGACCAGTGGTGTTTTTTTTTTTTTTTTTTGCCTAGGGCAGCACAAAACCAAAAATATGAGTCAGGCTCTGCATACACAATCAAGCAACCGCTCTCAGATCCCACCTAGTCCCTGTGGTGCATGTGTCCATTATTCCAGGGGGCAGTGCTGCCCCCCTGAAAAATGCCTTGTGGTAAATACGTCCCTGCTGCTGACCGCCACATGAAATCCTGCCAGCTGTTTTTAAGGGTGTAAGGCAGGAAGTACAGTGGTAGATTCAATGTGCAGGGGCATATATTGGCAGAACATATACAACTGTGCAAACGTTTTAGGCAGGTGTGAAAAAATGCTGTAAATTAACACATTTCTGAAAGCATGCTTTGTTTATTTTTATCAATTAACAAAATGGAAAGTAAATGAATAGAGAAATCCAAATCAATATTTAGTGTGATCACCCTTTGCCTTCAAAACAGCATCAATTCTTCTAGATGAGCTTGTGCACAGTTTTTGAAGGAACTCAGCAGGTAGGTTGTTCCAATATGTTGGAAAACTAACCACTGATCTGTGAATGTAGGCTGTCTTTTCATCTAATATACACAAACCGTGCACAACTATCCTTCACAGGTCTTCATATATTCTCACCAGAATCTCCCCAATTGAAATGTGTATCATATGATCTCTTCTTTCTTCTTGACCATCTATTCGACTGCTTCCAATCTCCAAAGCAAAAAAAAAAAACTAATAGTGTAGTAATTTCTACCTATAATGTAATGCGTGTGATAC